TGAAAGTTGAGACTAGTTGTAAAAAGTAGTACTAGGTCTGAATAGGAGTACTTTTGCTGTTTCTTTAAAAATCATATCATCTTTCATCTACGTCAGATATACTCACGCTATATTCGGTTCGAACGTTTCTATATCGCGTGCATGATAATTAATTTCAGTCGGTGATAATTTTCAAGGATAGAGGCTGAGCGATTACGTCACAAACAGACCACGTATCGCCTTTGAACTGTCTCCTTATGTGTCTGCTGTTCTTTAGCCGCGGAAACATTGCGGTTATCTGTTTACTGATACCCGGGTACGTGGCGACATTACTCGAACGACATTGATAATTACTAACGTACCCTTGATCTCTTCTCGAATGTATACTAGTCAATAATATTGACTCGATGTAAGTCGAGACTGACATAGAAGCTCGTTGTCCTCCCTTGTTCTCTTATTACAATTGATAAAACTCAATTACTGTCCGTCGACAGTTGGTCTGACGTTTCGAGCATTGTCCACGACGTCCATGGAAAGATACTACTTTCGACACGTGCTTTGACCTTTCCATCCAGTTAGATTCTCTGTCAATTCGTGATAAAGATCACGTGACTAGAATATAATTATTAATTAAAAGAAGATTAGTTTATTACTGTAAACTACATTGTTATTACTTTCTTTTTATCGAGATTTAATTACGATTTAAAATCTCTTATTGTTAGTTAAATATTCTCATTGTACAGGCTTAAATAATATGAACGTTTCAGAGGTTAGACGAAAATAGTGACCGCATGTAAATCCACGCTAAAAAGATTTGCATGTTGCAAAAATACGAGGCGCAAAGTCTTCTTGCGGGCTGACGTAAGCATAATACATTCGCGTACGAGGAATTGTGGTTTCTCGGTTCCTTCCTCTACAGAAGAGTCGTTAGTTTAACAAAAGTCGCTAGGACAACTCGACAACAGAACACGCACGATCGAATTATTCATAGCTATCAACTTCCATCGCCATAGGAAATGGCGCAGACAGTTCGAATCGATGATATCGCAGAAATGAACTAATAGATGCATATTCTATTGTTTCCCGAACGCATAATGTTCGCTGAATTCTTTTCACCGCGTTTAAACAATGGAATTCAATTAGCGAACGAAGGGTTCGACGACCCTGATTCAAATCACACTTTAACGACTCGTAGATTCCGCGAATGAAAAATTGTCGCAGCTGTCGAACGCGTTCATTTGGATTCCACAGCTGGATATCAATTCGTATTGACTGTCTTTGGATCCTGCAATCTTATTTTTGCGTCAACGATACTTCTTTTGCGTCAGTAAAAATTTTTAACTTTCAAATAAACGCTTCACTAAATGTATCTTGTCGATATATGTATTATAAATGTAAAATGTTTCTAATATGTAGACGTCATGTTTGCATAATCTAACAGACTACGTGAAATTCCCTTCCGAAATTAAAATTTTATTTGCGCAACGTAGAGCTTTCTACTTTGCATCCGATGTCTAATAAGATCTAAATGCGATACATTATCATTACCGATTCTGTGTCGACGTGATATCGTAGTGGATTAAATATTCGACGCAAGATAAAAGAAATTAGTGATTCCCTAAATTTTCTGATCTTCTTATATTGAAGTATTTTCATAAATTGTTTTGTAGAAAATATGCACGATAGAAATACATCAAGGAAAACGATTTTTGGAGTATATTGCTAACGCAGCTGCTCATTTGATCGAGGTTTCCCTATCGCTTCAAATGCCTGAAGCATTTAGGCTTATAAGTTAAAAGGATCCTTGAATAAATTGGACGTCGACTAGAAACAATTGTTAATTAAAATAAACGTTACGTATGTTTCCACTACCTCGTCGTGTAACAGATTATAAAAGAACAATTAAAACAAACGAGTAAATATCAGCTATCAATTAAAAAAAAAAAAAAAAGATGAACGATAAATAAGGAGTATTCAATGTCAAGTACATTTTTGTATAGACTTAAACCGGTTAATGTAGAATCGAGAATATCTCCAGTAGTCGAGGATAAGCAGGAATGATTTATCGATCCGTGATGTAAAGTCGAGTCGATGCACAGCTGATCGCCTTTCGCTCACGTTCACTGCCAGCCGACAAGAATGTCCTCGTTAACCCATTTCGATGAAGAATGAAATAATGCCTGCCAAGGTCGCAGATATTGCGCGATTCACTTCTGCTCACTGCATTTGCTGAAAATGAGAAAATGTTATTCATGATTAATTTACTGAAGATTTATACACACTCGTAGCATTTAAAAATTTATTAGTTACTTATAAAAGAGTTTCTTTTGTTTTAGGGAATGGCCTTTACCATTCAGGAGAGACAAACACTGGGTATACACGGTCTTTTGCCAGCAGCTGTGAAAACACAAGATGAACAATTAGAATTATGTCGTTTGAATCTGGATCGCTACACTGATGATCTCTCGAAATACATCTACCTCATCGGCCTACTTGTACGTACATTCAATACTCTCTTCTTAACAGTGCCTTATACTTCAACTACAAATCAGTAAATACCAATTTCACATTTACAGGACAGAAACGAAAAGCTTTTCTACCGTTTGCTGGCTGACGACGTGGGCAAGATGATGCCCCTGGTGTACACACCTACGGTGGGTCTGGCCTGTCAGAAGTTTGGCCTAATCTACCGCCGACCGCGCGGTATGTTCATAAGCATATACGACAAGGGTCACGTGTACGACGTTTTGAAAAATTGGCCCGAGCACGACGTCCGAGCCATCGTTGTCACCGATGGCGAGAGAATTCTTGGACTGGGGGATTTGGGCGCTTATGGAATGGGAATACCCGTTGGAAAATTGTCTTTGTACACTGCGCTGGCGGGCATCAAGCCTCACCAATGCTTACCTATAACCCTAGACGTTGGCACGAACACTCAGGTATGGTAAATGTATCTTCGTATCTTTTTTACACCTCCACCTAAAAAAAATAAAAAACAAAACAAAAATCAGATAAGGTCAAGCTTTATTGACTTATCTTCTGCTATTTTTTATTCTAGTCTTTGTTGGACGATCCCCTATACATTGGTCACAGGCATAAGCGTGTGACTGGTGAAGAGTACGACGAATTCTTGGACGAATTTATGACCGCTGTCGTTAAGCGATACGGCCAGAATACTTTGATTCAGTTCGAAGACTTTGGAAACGCCAATGCATTCAGATTGTTGAATAAATACCGCGATCGCTATTGTACCTTCAACGACGACATCCAAGGAACTGCTGCTGTCGCCGTGGCTGGATTATTGGCATCGCTCCGTGTCACGAACACGAAGCTTTCTCAAAATAGAGTTGTTTTCCAGGGTGCTGGAGAGGTAAATAACATTTTATAGATTCTAGTAGATTTAAGTTAAATTATACATTTTTTTTAAATGCATTACTTATACTTTCTAGGCTTCGTTGGGTATCGCGTGGTTGTGCGTTATGGCGATGATGAAAGAAGGCGTCAGCTTAGAGGAAGCCAAGAGTAAGATCTGGATGGTCGACTCGAAGGGCTTGATAGTGAAGAATCGTCCAACGGGTGGAGTGACGGAGCATAAAGAGAAATTTGCTCGCGACGATAAACCTATAGACACTTTATTGGAAGTGGTGAAGACAGCCAAACCTACTGTTCTGATTGGCGCTGCTGCTGTTGGCGGTGCGTTCACGACTGAAATACTGGAAGAAATGGGCAAGAATAACGAGAAGCCTGTCATCTTTGCCCTCAGTAATCCAACAAGCAAAGCAGAATGCACTGCTGAAGAGGCATACAATGCCACACAGGTACGAATAACTTGAGGCTATCAAAAACCAAGTCCTAGTGAATAATTAGAAGTTATTAAATAGAAAGTTCTGTTTAATATCGTACGCGTACTAAATTTTTCTGTTCACAGGGCAAATGTGTATTCGCCAGTGGATCACCCTTCCCACCTGTAACATACAAAGGCAAAACGTTCTACCCTGGTCAAGGTAACAACAGTTACATCTTCCCTGGAATCGCGTTAGGTGTCATATGCGCTGGTATGCGTACAATTCCTGAAGAAACATTCCTCATTTCTGCTAAAACATTGGCTGGGATGGTTTCGCAAAATGACTTGGACTCGGGAAATCTGTACCCTCCGTTGCAGGATATTCAGAAGTGTTCGTTGACGATAGCCGTCGAGGTTATGAAATATGCTTACGAGAGTGGTAAGAAAATGTGATCTTTATTACGCATTGACACATGCCGACTGGTTACCAACAAAAATTTCTTTGTGTAGGCCTCGCATCGGTTCAGCCAGAGCCTAAAAACTACAAGGAGTTCATCAAAGCGCAGCTGTACGACACGGATTACACGCCATCGGTACCTCCAGTTTACGACTGGCCTCAAGTATAATTTTTTCTACTATTACCGTCACATACCAAGTTTCGATAAAGTCCGTGTATGTGGGTACACTCACATGTGTCAAACATGTATTTAACAACGCTTTTTTTTTTTTTTATTTGGCATGGTATCGTAAAAGCCTGTTGACCAGGCTCTCATATATAGATGACTATAAGTCCTGTGCGGATGTGTACAAGCATGTGTGTTGCGTGTGGATGTACGGAAAGCATCTATTTCGAGCTGGAAAGATGTATTTCAAAACTACTGTATGAATTACCGATCGCTTTAAATTATTGGGATGAAGTTTTATTTACTGGTTGATATAATAAATTTGCGACAATTATTTGAAAGAAATGTGTTTTATTGCTACTCGAAACAGCATTTTCTCGGTTCTCAGGCATATTTTCTTCTTTGTACGAGCAGCACGATCGTTTAGACTTTTAGACCCTCCATCATGTCGTGTTTATAAGAATTAAAAAGCAAACCACACGTACATGAGCGGGGTCATCATAATTTGGTGGTTTCATTCTCTTATTTAACAAAATGAAAGCAAATCCGTGTTTCGTACACCTGCAAGCGTACAACTTTTTTCAAAGATATGCAATTCACATCGCGTACAGCTGATCCACGGGTGTTTGGAAATAAAAGAAAGTCGGCTCACCTTTCTATCAATTTTTTTCTTAAAGGATTGGTGAAACAGAAAACACACATGATTATCCGCAACAACGCGAGATAATGCAACAAAGTTCAGTTATACGCCGAACCAAAAAGCTAATTCGCATCAGCTTTATCCAAATGTCGAATAAAAGTACATTTGCTGGTTACCTAAAATAATCACGTATCCTCTTGTGGTATTCGAGAACGTTAACATGTGTATGTTTACGACGATGAATTGGCGTTCCTAGTTTTTTTTTTCTCACACACTCGCTTCCTTTCTCGCTTCTCACTTTCTCTCCTTAGTTATCTTAATTATCTCAACACGTACGCATATATTTACGGCCTTATATCACTAATCTGATTCTTACTACTAGACACGTCGTGGTCATCAATCTATAACAAACAAGAAGTATAAACTGCGACCCTTTCTTTCCTCGAAACTTCGTTTGCGTAATAACATCCGTAATAAAATTAAAGAATAAAATGTACAGAAGAGCATTTAGAAAAATGTTTACAGTAAATGGGACTCTGTTACGCTACACTGAGCAGACACACTGGCCATTACCGCGCCAGTAACAAGGGACCTTCGCCATGAATTCATCTATCTACCAAATTTTGTTGACGTGCTTAAAACGGAGGTAAGAATATGTCGATAGCCACCATCGACGCCGAAGAATCTTAACGATCTTGTCATATATAATATATTCTATTCAGTCCGAGTTTCCACAGCACCAATTGCACTACTGCTTTTATTTCACGTTTTCTGGTAAAAACAATACGGATTATCTGATATTTTTAGCTGACATTTTTAAGCATCGAATTCGATCGTATTATCTAATTCACAAAAATTTCGAGCCTCTTGTTTTTTTTTTTTTTCGTATGCTCGACAGCGTCTCCGTTAGGTCCCGACCAACGTCATCGTATCTCGTTATCGCGGACAAGACACAGTCTTGTGAGACCTAAGGATGCGAGAATCGTGGCGTAGAGCAGTAGCGTCATCGACAGTGGAGTGTCTGTCCAGCACGGAGGTCGGTCCCTTTCCTAGCTTCATCGTGAGAGAGAGTGTGATCGTTCGTGGGTTTGCTGAGAGTCACCGGCTGCTCGAAGGTCGGGCAATCTTTGATTCGCTGGTAGCGCGTCGAAGAAGGGATGCGTCAATGCGTCCTTCAGCACTATCCTCTGAGCTGGCTCGTATTCCAACATTTTCTGTATGAGATCAAACAACTGCCGGTGTTCCTCGTTATCCATGAGCATACAGCGCTGTTACACAACAAACAAAACAAACACGTTACACGGCGCATCCTTCTTTCGTTAAAAGAGTTCAAGTGTGAATAGTTTTAGATTCATAAAACTCTATCTCGTTCTTAGCTCTGCCAGGATCTAATTATTTTCTAATTTCACTTGGTGACTGACAGAGTGTGAACGATATCGCAATAATGAGGAGAATCACTCACGTGTAAAGGTTTGCAATTGTCGCGAACGTATCTGCCGGCCGAGCTTTTCTCGTCCCAATCCAATTTGCCGTGGTAGAAGTACTTGGTCTTGGTCTTGCGAGCCATACGGTGTGGAATCGTGCCAAGTATACGCTCCATCATCGCTAAGTGCTCGCGGTTGTCGTGTGTTTGGAATAAAGTGATACCCAGGTACAGTTCGAAAAGGATGCAGCCAATCGACCAAACGTCGCAAGGTTGGGACCAACCTAATTCTACAAAAATAAAAGTACCGTGTATCAGTGGCTAGGCAAGGTGTGTCGCAACGAACCGACGCGCAAATCCACACGGTTTTACTTACCTAAAATTACTTCAGGCGCTCTATAATGTCTTGTGCTAACGATCGTGCTGTGGTGTTCGTGATCGAACGTCGCGCTACCGAAATCGATAAGCCTTATGTCTGTCCGCTTTATACGTTTGATCTCCTTACGCTTGAAAAGAAGAAACTTCTTTTGAACACTTTCAGACCTCGATACCTTTACCATTTACGTAACTCGAACCCTGTCGATACGTGCCGCTGTACGTTCAGACCAGGGATGGGCAAACGTGTTAAAGTTACTTTATTTCTAATCGTACATTTTAGTTTAGGTTTTGCAGATGGTGCCCATCCCTGATTTCAGCGATAAGCCGATTCCTCACCTTTTTATTATTATAGATTTTTTCGTAATCAGAGTCTACGAACAATATATTTTCCGGTTTCAGATCGGTGTGCGTGAGTTTGTTATCGTGCAGAAATTTAACGGCGTAGCAAAGCTGATAACCGATGTGCCTGACGTGCTCCAACGGATAGGGCTGGTAATGGTTGTCCCTCTGTGACATGGAACGCTAACATTACTGACTGACGTTTTATCAAATGTGTTAAGTATACGCACCAGGAAATCGAATACGCTAAGTCCAAGCATCTCAAAGGCGATGCACATGTGCCCGTGATAATTGAACCAGTCAAGCATCTTCACGCACAAGCTAAAACACAAGAACACGTGTCACTGATAAAAAACAAATTTAAAATTCGCCAACTGCCGGAAAGATGAAATCAGCCATTGCGATGGATACTAACTGTTGGCTTTCTGGATCCTTGGTGGCAATTTTCTCTAAGGCGTTTATTTCGAGCTTCGCGGCTTCCCTATACTTCTCTACGTTCTTGATAATTTTCAGAGCCATCACGTGATCCCTGCAAACGTCATTGTACTTTTATTAGACGGACCGCTCCTCTGCGCGTCCACCGAGCCATCTTCCTATATACCACGCCGTGGGAAGCGCATCGAAGAACGTTTAATCGGAAGGGTAAAATCCTCGAGAGCCATTGCTTGCCGAACGGGCCAATTCACGCATGCGCCAAGAAAATAGCGTCAGCGAGAGGGAACCTTGATTGAGTGGAAAGTAGGGCCGAAGACGTTACTTGTTTAATTATCGAAATACTCGTACATTCTAATATTTTGATATTACATCTATATGATACCTAACCCTTTTCCACTCGACTTTAGCTCACCCAATCGTCGCCATTATCGTCACGCAAGCGCAAGGAGGCTGTGCACGTCCAACAACACTGCGGATTTCGCGAGGATGCCTGGCCCGTAAAACAAAGTGCAAGGCCATCCTATTATTGCGACTACTCGCGCGTCATTTTGTGACAGTGCGGCCACGTCTATTTCTGATCGTCGTGCTATGACTCGAAACCGCGCCACGCACCTTTAGGATTTTCTTCGATGCGCGCGAGGCGTGGAAAAATAAGGGAAGTAAAAAAAAAAAAACAAGGCATAGGTCGAGAAAGGGGTACGCAGACCCGAAGTTGCACAGAGGTGTGTTACCTACGTAGTAGTTACGTGACATGCCACTTACATTTGCAAGTCCTTAACCTTGACAACTTTTCCAAAAGTACCCGCTCCTAGGGTGGCCAGTACTTTATCTGCAATGTAAAAAGGTAGATAAGTAACCGTACAGGTCGAAGACCTCCCGTCCACGGAAGATCGTCGGGGTTGCTCCTCCTAGACGATATCGACAAGGTGAGTCATCGACGATAGACGAATGATTCGACTTGTCGATGATATCCTTGAATCGTCCCGCGTGTATGTGCATTCTTACCCTTGCGAATGAAGTTGGAGGATTAATCGGCGAGGAAGGAGCAACGGAGACGCGCTTCCGAGGCATGGACGTTCGGTCGATCGTTGTTTGTACGCCGTAACGTCGTGAACGGATGTATGATAAAGTGAAAAAAAACGGTATCATAGAGCTTGTTATCGATCGGAACTGCTGCTCTCCTAAGGCTGAGGTACACCTAACCGTAAAACGGCGACGGAGGACACGACATTGGCTATCAGTCCCGACTGGTCGTGATCGTGTCTGTGGGGAGCGAAGACCATGGGATTTACTCGAAGAGCAAAAGTACGAGATCTTGAAAGTCGTAAAATCGTCGGGATAATGAGAGCTAATGTCGAGTGTCCTCACGCGGTCTATTTAAAGAGAGAGAGGAGCACGTCATCTCGGAGAAGACGTATCGAGGAGATAGCGCAAGCGTAGTTTCTCTTTATCTCTCCACCTTACGTCGCCTCTCTGTCTCTCTGGTCCAGCTTCACCTTCGGCGATCACGCGAAGTACCACGAATGAGTTGCGTCAATTACGCGGTGTCACCTTTCGGGAATCGCGAACCTGACCTAAGTGGACTCGAGGTTTTACGCGCGAGGAATTGGCCACGCTACGAATATCAATTCTGAGATTAGATCTGTTTAGAATTCTGTATATCGAACGAATAGATTCTTTATAAAAGTCTGGCAAAGTTGTTATCCTAAGTGTTAGTTTTAATCGATCCGTAGCTACCGCGAGTAAATGAGAAAGCAAACGTTGCCCGAAAGAGGCCCGAAAGAGCGAAAAAGAGAAAGACGAAGGTAGAACTAAATCTAGCGAGACGGAGAGAGTAGTGGAGCAGTGAGAAGACGGTCGAGAGACAAAGAGAGACTATGGGCAGATACCGTAGGTAAACCCCGTCCGATCGATCGACCGATCGATCGATCTGAGGCTTGCTTAAATCTACTACAATGAGTGTATTCACGTATTCACGAACATCTATTTTCCAGGATGTCGCCGGAATGGTAAACAAGGTGGCCCTCTGCGTCGTCCTCGACGGAGAGCGGTCGTGGGCTCTACGTATGGGCCGGCGGAATCGGTATCAGCGGCGCGTGCCAACAGAGGACCCAATCAGTGTGAAGAGCACCGTTTGGTGTCCAGGTTCATTGCGTCGTGGATCGGTTGGCGTCCCCACGTGTGTGTTCGGTTTCGTGATGGTCGCCGATCAGTGAACGGTTTCCCCAAACCGGTCGTTGTCGATTCATCGTCGAGGGTTTGCGTCGTTGAGCGGCCACCAGACGGTCGTCGAGGTCGTGATCCATCGGCAGAGAGGTGTCGGGGGGGATCCAGTATCCAACGGGAAGGCCGTCGCATCAACCGATTGCCACACACCGTCATCCACCACCACCACCACCACCACCACCGCGGAGGGCGGAGACCCGTGTAACACGCGGTAGAGGACGTGTGTAAGCACGGACGAACGTACGATTGTGTCGGTGGGGAGGAGAAGTAGGGGCATTGAGAGAGAGAGATCATCGTCATCGGTCATCATCATCATCGGTACCACCCGATCCGAGCGCCCAGTCGACCAAAGTGACCAATCCGTGTGCCATATCCATTTCCATTCCATTCCATTACAACGGAGATGGTAACCCAACAATCAGAGAGAAAGGGGAGAGGGCAAAATGGTTTGCCAAGTCAGAAAGTTGCGGTTACGAATTTACCATCGGCACAAAGCGAACTTTTTTTTTTTTTTTATTTATTTATTTATATTATTATTAACTTTTGATCTTATCTTTTGCCTCTCTTTGTAATATTATTACGGTTCTCATTTCTTTTTTTTTTTTTTTTTTTTTTATATATATATATATAGATATTGTTTCAGATATCAGTTTTTTTCCCTATACTCGTGTTAGAAGTTAGGTCCCGTGAAAGGAGCCGTCGCGATCAACACACCGAGGGATCGATACTCTAAACGCGAATGTAACCAACGAACGGAAGCATAAACTCGGTCTCTTTCTAGCTTATTCGGAAGAGAAAAAAAAAAAACGTGAATCTTTGCAAGTATGAACGTAGTACATCGTTAGAAAATGGACAACAAGGAAATGGTCGTCGGACAGCTTCTTTCGAGTGCTCGTTACGTATATTATATATTTGTATCTAACAGAGAGAGGTATTTTTACTTTTTGTTAATTAATCAATCATTTGCAGAAACCTTCAAGTACTTACGTGATTGCGCCCCAAGGTGGACTGGGCTCCACGATGATCGATCCGTCGATCGATCCTCGTGACGCGTCGTCGCACCGAGGCGAGCGTCGATCGATCGATCGATCGACACTTTTCGAGCCTACCTTATCGATGGAAGGACAAACCGCGAACCCGACCTGACATTTATCGAACGTATATCGTACTTGAGAACGCGATCAGACTTACCGCGAAATTGTTTTCGATTCGGAATTGGTAAGGGGACAGGGCGGCGGTACTCTTTCGGTTAGTTCGATCATTTTGGTACGTATGCATGTTTAGCTACAGGGTTGACAAAAAAGAAGATCGAGTGCTAAATAATCATCACGACTCAGGAGTGACTCCGCACACCTGGATCGGTTGGCATACGTTAAGAAAACTTTATAATTCAACGTGACTTGGATATTCAATGTCGAATCATATAAGTTTGTTTAACAAATGTTCACCGACCTGGATTCATTCCTAAAACTTGTGATGATTCATCTGTTTACACCCTGAGCGTCCTAAAATTACATTCGTGTAAAATGTGGAAATTATAAATTGGTTTTATCACAGATCAAGATTAGGAATGTAACAGTATTCTTAGCTATGTCTTCATATATATATATATATACATATTTTCTTAACCCTTAACGGACGTAACTTTTAGTAAATTCAATTACTTTAAACAGTTCCTCTAGCTTTTTAACAAGTGCAACACTTTTCGTGTACCAACGCCCGGTAAGGATTAACAACAACGACAACAATAAAAGTTCTCAGTGATCAGGAATATGTACCCTGTGTTGCGACAGATTGAACGCAAGATCGTCGATAAGATAGTTCGAACGCGAATCATCTCCTGTGTCCAAGACTCTCGGGTTCGAGCGAAGGTGCTCGAAGTCTGTAAAGCCAGGCCTGGAGGGCGCGGGTTAGGTTAACGCGTGAGTAGCAGGCAAGGGGTCGCAACAGCAACAACGGGGACTGCTCAACGAGAACAACACTGCGGCCGCAGTTAGCCAGCGCGCGGTTCGACAACTTACAATCGCGTGCTGGGTCGCGTCCGAGTCGCTAGCGTCACTCGCGACCGACGTCTGCTTCGCGTCATTTCGCTCGTTTCGACGGTTGCTTTTCCTATACTTGCTGGCGATAATGTCCGTGGTGCTGGGTCGCGTCCTGCCCTGGCCACTGGCGGCCAGCTGGCTGTACGTCTCCTCCATGGTGGCATACTTCAGGATCAGACTCTGTATCTCTTTGCGTCTCTCCGCTCCGATACCTCTGTCCGAGTCGCTCTCGACTAGACGAGCAGTGCCAACGCTGCCGACAGTTTGAAGAGCAACATCGGCAGAGTTGTCGCTACCAGTGGGCGTCTTATCAGGATCGACGACAGTCTGCTTCGCTGTCTTCACCTTCGCTCGTCGAGCTAACAGCCTCATCGCTGTGGAGCTGGGTTCCAGTTGCTCGCTCTTTCCATTCCTATATGGTCTCACTTTCAGGGTGCCAGTCTCAGCGTGACCAGACTTGTGTCTACCATACCGTCGGTAAGACTCCGAGTTGAGCAAGGTCTCTCTGTCGGATCGGTGGTAGCCAGGAGTGTTCTCGCATTTCGAAGGCTTCACCCTGGAGGACTTAACGTAGGGATAGGCTTTCTCGGACAATACCACGCTGGTGAGGCTCTTGACGATGCTGCGCGACGCCGAAGGTTCAAGGGTCCTCTCGTCCCTCGCGAAGGGACTATCCTCTCGGCGGTAGTAGCTATGTTCCCGCTCATGAGCGTGACTGTAGTCGATGGATCCTCGATCGTGACGCTTCGTCCGCGAGTACTTTTCCAGGATCGCCGAGTATTTCTCCTCCAGGCGTGTCCTGGTATTGTTCAACTGAGATGGATTAGGGGAACGTCTCGGCGCAGGTGCCTTGGTGGCAACGTTATCGTTCAGGGCGGACGTTCCGCGCACCCTGGTGGTCAGTCGTTGCAGGAGGTTCGAGCAGGAGTCGCTGAGCATCTGCGTCACGCTGGTGGTCGTCGAAGACCGCGCGTAACGGTTCCGTCGTCCCGTCGAGTCCTGACGAGACACCGACATGTTGTCGCGAGGGGCGAATATGAACATCGGGACGACTCGCGCGAGTGGCGATCCTTTTCAGTGACCTAGAGATTGGTATCCCTCTGGTCTGAATACTCCAAAGATGTTTGGAACGGTACTAGGTGATAGGGCTGTGGAGTTAGGTGTAGAGTAGGAAGCTATTCGCTGAAGAGGAGATCCTACGCCCACGCAGCTTTGAAATCTTCCAACGACTCGACTCTTAAGTTCTGGAAGAACGCTCGGGAGAGCCAGATCCCGAGGAATTCTGCGGTGTCGCACCCACGCGCTGCGAAATCTTCCAACTAGCAGGGATGTGTCGAGACCACGTCGCGGTGCTTCGAGCGACGAAGTAATCTTCTTACAGGAGCTCTACTCCCTGACCTGGCCGAGACTTCCGAGAGTCCACGAATACTCAAAGAGTAGTATAATTCCAACAGCGAATTTGTTTTTCCGGTGCGTCAGCGACTTCCTGGAACCGATTTGGAGCGACTCGTTCGCTCAAGGTCGTCCCGCCAGACCTTGGCAGGACGGTGACGCATTCGAGCGGTTCCTAACGCCGCCAGGGGACACAACGAGGATCAGGAGGATCGCGCACCACCGTTAACCACCGTGTCACCTGGCCGCTCGCGATTCCTATCACGCAGGTGCATATCACCGCGGAGGCGCGGACATGTCGACGATCGCGTTCAAGAGGGACGACGACGCCGAAGGCACTAAACTACACGACCACGACGGCGGTCACGGAGACGACGACGGCCGACGTCGACCGTTCACGAAGAGGCGAATCGGTGCGCCCCGCCAAATACTCTCTCGTCGCACTAAAAATACCGAGGAGCGGCGGTGAGGCTCCAACGATTCTCGTCCTCTCTCGAAACGAAACGCTTTGCCATCGGACGGAGATCCAAGATCGGAAACGAACGGGAGAAACGACGAAGACGTGGCGAGACGAGGAGGGAACGAGATGAAAGGAGACAGGAGAGGAAGAAGCGGAGGAATCGAAATGACCAGAGCGCGAAGAGAGGAAGAAAGGGTATTACGTAAACTTGTCCCTCGCTGGTTTTGGAACGGTGAAGTTCGGCACGCTCCGAAGGATCGGGGGCTTGGCAACGTCGCGCTTCCTGGTGCACGGAAGAACCGCCATCCGGGAAGCGTTTCTCTCGCGTGGCCAGTACGAGCGATGCGCGCGTTACGAGGAAACGAGTCGCGTCGTTTTTCGCAAGACGCGTCGCTCCGCACCTTGACACATATAGAAATTACGAAATTACCGGACCGCCGTTTGCCGAACGGGAGCAAGTTTGGCGGTGGTGGGCCGTCCCGCGATGAAATTCCGATCTAAACGGTGACGGAGGGACGCGCCGCATAATTAGAACGGGCCGATATCGAAACCGTACCCCCGATTCGGATGCGCTCGAGCTGCACCGTTCGATGTTGTGAACGGGCGACGACGTTAACGCGTTAAAGCGCCGCGTCAATCAACGATGATTGATTTACTCTCTCCGTACGCGTCAGTCGACCGCCGACTGACGATGTATCGTTTGAAAAATCGCGTTCTTACGTCGTATACGAAACAGTTTGAAGATTACACAGAAAACGGTTTCTCGAGGAAGACTAATTTTGCTCGTATCATTCCTCACGCGCGTCTTGTGCCGATATCGCCACCGTTGCGGATGGAAGAGAATTGTTTGCACTGGAACGAGAACCAAAGGTAACTGGCTCAAGAACAAGCGTCTCTAAATGAACCAAGAAAAAAAAAAAGGAAAAGTACGAAGACTGCGATAAAATACACACGAAGGATACACGATTACATCGCGAACGGAAAGAAAAACAACCTTATCGCCGGTGACCTTCGACCATCCATTCGTCTGGGGCGAATCTCGTGCTTTTCGGGGCAATTAACTCTTCTCATTTGTTGGGAGCGTCGCGTCGGTAAGTGACTCAACGGTAGAACTATAACCACGTTTTTTAATCTATCTATACCATAGATCCTAAACTCTGGAGGGAAGCTCGTTTAGAACATGGTCAGCGCACTTACTGCCCAATGGGGACGTTCGAGGACTCCCCGTTGCTATTAATAAAGCCAAGTCGCCAAGGTCGCGGAGAATCGGGATATCGTAGATTTTACATAAATTCAAGTATGGATTATAAATACACAATCGTCTAGAAAACAACGTCGTAGTTCCCTCGCCCACGGGAACGCGAAATTTTCTTGGCGCGACCGATTCGTCTCGATTCAACCACCTGCATCATCCGAGACGTTCATCTATAAAGTCTCGAGAAGACGATTCTTAACGATATTCATTCACCTTTCACGGCGTAACGTTTGTTTACATTTACTGGAAATATACGCCGAGCGAAAAGGTCATCGAACAAAGACCGTCGCCATTAACATTGATTAACCGAGAAGATCCGTAGTCTTTTTGGGCTCGCGGCACTATTTCGAGTGAAAAGAACCTGGCACGGATCCTAATCCCGAATAATTATAGTAACAAGAACTCAAGAATAAATTGCTAGTAAAGCGTAAACCCCAATGAAGGAAGAGATCGAAGCCTACAAGCTACCACTTAAATATAGGTTTAAGAATATTTTCAGTAGAACGAAGAATGAACGTCGAGATGAAGAAATTGTCGAGTGAAGTTAACCCTATCCATCCTAATTCCCATGTGGACAGTAATTGCATCTTGTAGCAACAATTATAAGAACTACGTACAAAAGATACAAGTTCGCCTACCGATCGAGACTTTGTCGATTACGAACGTCCACGTACTACACAGAGATCCAAGTTGTGGAGAGGTCGCGACACTGAACAGGAGCACGTGTAGCGACTAATCCGATTCGTCGGTAATTTAAGATCGCTCCAGAGTGATCCAAAGAATTTCAGGAATTAGCCCGACGGAACTGGACACCCCGTATATTTCCTCGGTAACCTCGGTTGCTCGGCCGGAAGAGATCGTTTTCTCTTAGACGCGGGAAGCATGTCGCGTCGTTCCGCTTTCGTCGTCGCTGAAAGGAGCATTGGGAAAGGTTAGTATACAATCGAATGTGTTTCGGTAATTGGAGATGTTATCCCTCTTCTAGGTCGAACTCGCAATATTTCTTCGAGTATGAAAAAGTAAGAAGTCTTCCGCAGTTCAATTCTCCCCAATTGTTTCTATATGTCCGTTCTCGCGTATTTGTTTTCAATTTACCGTCGTCGCATGATCGCCCAGCGGAGTTATAAATACTCGGTTACCGATGACCTTTATTTACGCGTAACAGTTGACAAACGAAGATAAGAAGAGAGAAACGTTATATCTCGCGTTTTTCTAGCAATTAAATGGGGTCGACCAATTCGACCCATTACTTTACTCGAGACGGTGCTGCTGTAATCACGCTTCCAACAGAAGTGTATCGCGGTGACGATTGTGAGATTTCCAACAACCGGAACCTATACAAAATCTGATCACTTTCACGGTAATTATCACGGTGCCTTGTAAGACTGTCTCTACAGTCGGAGAAAGGGAGACGCAGGAAGCAAAAAGGGAGGACGAGACACGAGATCGGCGTGTTCATAGCACTCTCTCGACTTACTCCCCTCCGTGCTCGAGTGTGTTTATCGTGGTCGCGTACGGGCCTGCCAAATATAACCAAGAAGCGTGAAACGCGTGCGCTACGAATTGCCCTCGACGCTGGTCGTCCCGAGTCGGTTTAAATGTTAAGGCGAGCACCTAGCTAACTAGCGCTCGCTGGTTGCGCGTTACCGTTGCTGCTGCGTGGCAAAGGGCCAAGAAAATCAGGTACGCGCGTAGGCGAATTGCGTGTTACAGTGTAACTTCAAGCTTATGTACGTTATATCCCGACATTTGTCAACGATACCGTACACACTAGTCTGGTAATCTTCAGCTACTGGAGTTGCCTCTCTACTTGACTTTTGGAAATTCTGTTCCATGTCAGATTACAATTTCGGAATAAAATGTTCATTTTCCTACGAGTTAGACTTTCTATTCACAGCGTTTGTTATTGAGAAGAGAATATTTATTGCGTGCACGTACGCACGACTGAACTCGGCGCGTTTTAGCCTACCGTGTCATCTAGCGTGTCGATCGCGCACCAGCCAGGCACGCCACGAGGAAAAACCAAGGTAGCAAGACTGAAACGTTAGATGGCGTTAACGGCGTGTTTTTAAGAATGAAAAGACGTTGCAAAGGACGTTCATTGTAAGATATTTTCTTACGAACAACAGGAAATATAGCCTGGCCGTCGTGCTTCGTACGGTAGATATTCTGGGTAGGTAACCTACTCATAAACTTTAAATAACGCCATCTAGGTTTCCAACCTCGCAACACCAAGAACCGCACAGTGAACAAGAAGAGGTAGGCAGAGGTACAGCAGCGACTAGACTCGGTGACTTTCCCCTCGCGCGGCACAATTAACCCCTGTCACCTGTAGTGTGCAAAGCAACGTATCCTTTTCGATCATGCTACCTCGGAAGCCGATGTGTCGTTGGACTCTGGCGTCACGTCGAGCTTCGTCGCAAACTCTTTGATGGATTCGGCCTCGTTTTGATGCTGTAGCCACCGCTCAAGGCCGGGCCGTGGCCACCAGGGGATGGGCTCCGGCACCAGCCAGTTTAATTCTTGGCCAGCGGACGACGACGCGGCCGAGGGTGGTCCACCGTCGGCCAGGTCGCCGCCATTCACGCACCAGCCTCCAGGGTCCAGGGTGACGCGTGCCGTGCTCCTTGTTTGACGATTTCGAGTTCTAGGATACGCCTTTATCGCGGGTACATGTTGCCAAACGCGACCAGCGCGTGGTGTATTTCTAAATCCAGGCTGATCGATTCTGGGTCACCAGATGCACGAAGCTGGGACGAACCGCGACGGAACGACGCGTCTTGAGTTACCTTGAGCGCTGTTGAGACGGAGATGCTCTCTTCGGATGGTTTCTATTCCTCTTGAACACTTTATCCAAATCGCTCGTGGATTTCTCCGTTCTCTTCAGTTCCACGTCGATGGAAATTCCACGTCTCGATCCTCAGGACTCTCTCATGGTCTTTCTTGGACGAACGTAACTCGATCGCGACTTTCTCTGTCGTTTTGGACTCCTGGCAACTTGGATGACGAGGGGCACTGTTCGCGCGCGCGTCTCAGTTTCCGGCGGACCGGCTTCCCTGCCGGCGCGTTTTCCGACGACGATGCCGGACGGTGTTGCGCTGGCCATCTGGCGCGAACTCGCACTAAAACCGCGGCGAAACCGCGTGACGAGTCCCCCTCGAAAATAGTCGCCGGTCGAAAATAGCCGACGCTGGTTAAGAAAGAAGAATCATCGGCATTCGCTCCGGGACACGTCGCGCTAGTTGCGTCGCGGCCTTCTCCAGAGACTGATTTTTCCGCTCTTCCTCTTCCTCGGCGCTCTCTTTTTTCCTCCTCTTCAGCATCTTTCTTTCAAACGTATTTATACATCGCCGCAGTATCGAGAATCGACGGGGAATCCTCGCTCGACGGATAGCAGAACGACACCTGGACGCCGTTTCGCAGAGAGGTTTCTTATCTGCCAATGCTGACTACCGCCACGAGAAATTCCAGGCCACGGGTTCTCCCAGACCCGCATAAATTACTGAAACGATTTACTGCGTAGAGTCGTACTCCGTGCCCGAACCCAACCTTGACGCTGCTATGTTTCTACTAATATTATTGAACGTTGTAAACAAAAACAGATGAATTG